CCCGGGATTTTGGGCCGGAATCCCGGGATTTGGGGCCGTTCCGAGGCGGAATCCCTTGGGAATTCCGTGTTTTTCCCGGGAATTCCGTGCTTTCTCCCCCGCCCCCACCTGGCTCTCTCCTCGCGGCTCCGGCGTTCCCGGCTCCGGCTCCTCCGGCGTTCCCGGCTCCGGCTCCGGTGGCGGCTCCGGCGCTCGCGGCTGCGGCTCCGGCGGCGCCGATCCCGATCCCGGTCCCGGCTCCGGCTGATCCCGGGAAAAACCACACCGGGAATTAACGGGGAATTCCCGGGGAAAAAATTCCCAGAAAAATCAAAAAAGAAAAAGAAAAAAAAAAAAAAAATCCTGAAAAAATTCCCGAAAAAATCCCCCAAAATTCCCCAAAAATTCCTAAAAAATTCCAAAAAAATTCCTGAAAAAATTCCCAAAAAATTACCCCAAAATTCCCAAAAAATTCCCCCAAAATTCCACCAAAATTCCCAAAAAATTCCCCCAAAATTCTCAAAAAATTCCCCCAAAATTCCCAGAAAATTCCTAAAAAATTCCTGAAAAATTCCCCCAAAATTCCCCAAAAATTCCCCCAAAATTCCCAAAAAATTCCTAAAAAATTCCAGAAAAATTCCCCCAAAATTCCTCAAAAATTCCCAAAAAAAATCCCCCAAAATTCCCAAAAATTTCCCCCAAAATTCCCAGAAAATTCCTGAAAAAATTCCCAAAAAATTCCAGAAAAATTCCCCCAAAATTCTTCAAAAATTCCCAAAAAAATTCCCCCAAAATTCCTGAAAAAATTCCCAAAAAATTCCCCCAAAATTCCCCAAAAATTCCCAAAAAATTCCCGAAAAATTCCCCAAAAAATTCCAAAAATTTCCAACAAAAATTCCTAAAAAATTCCTGAAAAAAAATTTCCTCCAAAATTCCCAGAAATCCCTTAAAAAATTCCAAGAAAAAAAAATCACTACAAAATTCCCAAAGAATTCCATAAAAAACTCGGCAATTCCCTGAAAAAAAATCCCAGAAAAAATTCCCCCCAAAAATTCCAGAATTCCCAGAAAAATTCCTGAAAAATTCTCCCCAAAATTCCCAGAAAAATCCCAGAGAATTCCTAAAAAAATTCCCAGGAAAAAATGCCAAAAAATTCCCGAAATTCCCAGAAAATTCCTGAAAAATTCTCAGAAAATTCCCCCAAAATCCCCAAAAAATCCCAAAAATTCCCCAAAAAATCCCAAAAATTCCCAAAAAATTCCCCCAAAATCCCCCAAAAAATCCCAAAAAATCCCCAAAAAATTCCCAAAAATTCCAAAAAAGATCCCCCAAAAATTCCTAAAAAATTCCCCAAAAATTCCCAAAAAATCCCAAAAATTCCCCAAAAATTCCCCAAAAAATCCCCAAAAAATTCCCAAAAATTCCCAAAAAATTCCCCCCAAAAACTTCCAGAAAATTCCTAAAAAATTCCAAAGAAATTCCCTAAAAAATTCCCAAAAAATTCCCAGAGAATTCCTAAAAAAAAATCCTGGCTTGGAAAGGGGAAAAATTCCGGAAGAAATCCCCAAACTGCGGCTCCAAATCCCAAAATTCCCGGATTTCCCCCCAGAATTCCCGGATTTCCCCCCAGAATTCCCGGATTTCCCCCCAGAATTCCCGGATTTTCCCCACCTGTGTCTGTGCTCGCGGCTCCGGCTCCGGCTCCGCTTCTTCCGGCTGCTGAAATCCCGGAAAATCCCGGAAAAATCCGGGAAAAATCCCTCAGAATCCCGAAATTCCCAGCCCGAGTCGCCCAGAATCCGGGAATTCCCACCCAAAATCCTGGAATTTTCACCCGAAATCTGGGAATTCTGAGCCAGAACGCCCCAAAATCTTGGAATTCCAGCCCAAATTCCCGAAAAACGCCCAGAATTCTGATTGAAAATCTGGGAATTCCATCCCAAAATCCCGAAATTCCCACCCAAAATCCCAGAATTCTGACCCAAAATCCTGGAATTTTCACCCAAAATCCCCCAAAATCCCGGAATTCCCAGCCGGAATTCCCGGAATTCCGGGATTTCCTCACCTGCTCCCGCTCTCCTTCTTGGGCTCCTTCGGCTCCTCCGGCGGCGCCTGCTGGAAAATTCCCAAAAAATTCCCCAAAAAATTCCCCAAAAAATTCCCAAAAATTCCCCAAAAATTCCCAAAAAAATTCCTAAACAATTCCGAAAAATTCCCCAAAAATTCCCAAAAAATTCCCCAAAAATTCCCCCAAAATCCCCAAAAAATCCCAAAAATTCCCCAAAAAATTCCC